TCTAAGCTGCTATAGTCGTATGATAATGTCTTTAAATCGTAGCTTTAACTTTGAAATATGATAATTGTTGATATAAGAACTTGGCATCCTATGTCCAGTAACCGATTCATTCTTGAAAAGAGCTGAATGTGTCTTTCTTTTCACCTACTATCTCAATTGATAACCAAGTATCATACGACCATGGCTAATTTTAATTTATTTCTGCTTCCTCTCACCGCTCACCTGCCTCCTAACTGCGGTTTTATCACACTCCCACCTCTATATATCTCTCTATCTCTCTATATTAGCCACTCTTAGCCCCAATAAGTGATAAAACACCTTCCACACAAACACGCAAACACTCATTGAACGGATATCCGCTTCTGAATTATCTTTTTGTTTGGATGAGCATGTCCAGCACCGCAAAAGAAAAACAAATATCATTATCACCACGAGTACAAAAATATCTGAAATTTATATCGTTGAAATTCTCCAAGCGAGTCCATCAGCAAATTGGCTTCACCCATTCGATATCATCCTATCCATTATTACTTTGCATGGCTTCTTATTTATGATTTCGTTTAACCTCTGAGTTATCTTTCTTTACTAATTTGAAATTTATGAAAGACGAGCAAACCAGTTTGTGTTATTTTGAAAATCCCAACAATCCCATCCACCCGTTTTTTGTAAATATTGTACGTGCAAAATTGGCAAAAACCAGAAGAACAAATTTAGATTAAAAAAAAACAATTCGAAACTACCCAAGAAACGAAAAAGCAACCAAAAACAATTCCTTTCTCTTTTTCTCTCTCTCTGTGTATGTGTTATTGTTACAGCCAAAGCGATGAGCAATCCTCCTCCACCAATACTACCACTACTACTGATCATACTAATAACGTATCCGCCACCGATTCCGATTCTAACTCGAAACCCTGGCTGAGCCGCATGTTCGCCGCCTCAAACTCGAACGGCGGCGATCCTAAGGATCCGGCAGTGGCCCTTGGCGGTGACTTTAATGCCGCCAAGCACTTTGATTTAAAGAACGTACGACACGATTTCAATAGGCCCGCGGGCATCGCAGCCGCTCCGGGCGGACGTATAGCGAAAACCGGACGCAAAATTAGGTGAGAGGGCCGCCAGCTCAGAGCTCAGAGCTTCGCTACGATGCGATGCGCGCGATCAATAAACTCTATATCTAAAATTAATCTATCTAATCAACTACCCACTACTATCTGCAATATAACTATTTCCTACCAACCGGAAATTAACTCTTAGTTCCGTTAACTCTTCATTTGTCTCCTCGTTTCCTTTATATCCGTTTCCTCGATTGCGATTCTGATTTCTGTTGTTTGGCATGATGTTTGTTCCATGGTGCAGCGCCTCATGGTCCCCCGTCCAAAAAAAAAAAGAAAAAACACACTAAAACCCACTACTCTTAACTCCAACTCAACTATCTAACCCGCTAATCTTTTGACTCTGTTTTACTTTGCAGTCCAGAGTTTTTGTTTGCACCTCGCGCGTTTCGAAAGTTTTGCATTTGTTTTTGATAAGTTCCCCCTATTTTGGCTGTTTGCTAGTCCTTGTCCTAAAAGAGATAACCACAGTTAACCCCAGGCATCTGTAATCCACATTGTCCAGTCATCTGTATTTGAGTCTGTATGTTGGTCTACCGTCTAGTGTCTATATACCGCTCAAACATACTTTACTATATACAAAACAGAGTTTCTAAAGCTTATAGGCAGACATTTCATTATTATACCATCGTAATCTAGGCAATTTGCTGTGCAGCTTGAGAATTTATGATAACAATCGAAATTATTCCATACCGCAGAGTTGGCTTCTCAGGGGTCCATTTCAATGTTTGGGTTTGGTGTGGTTTCCCTCTTAACTCCATCCTCAACTTCAGATCTCTTTTCATCATAAACTGTTCATATATACTATATAATACCCTGCGCTTGCTTAACTCTCATTTCATTGAACATTTGCCATAACTGTGCTAAAACCAAACAAAAAAAACTAGATTAAAGTTTAGTGCACGTGTCTAACCGAATCGAAAAAAAATCGAAAACCGAATGTTGTGTGAACTTAACGCTCGATATTTCAAGTACCCAAGCTAATCCGAAGTTTTTTGACTATCCACAGCTACGTTGGACGTGCCTGCGGAGCTTCCACCGCCACCGGATCTAAGGCCCAGCACATCCGTGAGCTGAACGCGCTCCTGAATGACGCGATTTCAACCTAAGGAGGTGTAGACTCAATAGTGATGAGATGGAGGAGGAGGGGTGAAGAAGACGATGAATATTAATTACGATTATATTTTGTATTGAAACGTATGCAGACTCTTTGATACGATTTTTTGCTGACGAAATTGTTAAGAGCATTGTGTGAAAGTAATGAAATGTTAAATATTAGTTTAGTGAAATTACAAGAGCTAACAAGGCAACCAAGTAACAAATAACACGAAATGTTTAGTGTTTAGTAAACAATCAAAGCAAAGCAAAACAACAAATTACAACCACTCACAGAGCAAGTCTTTAATGCGAACTAAAGAGCCAAGATCTAGTAAATAGCCAATCCTATGCGCATATATATTTGGAGTGATGAGAGCTCGCATAGGAGGATCACTATACTTTCGGAATGAATAAAACCCTTTCTAATTTTATTTCTTATTCCTATGTTTAATATTTATTTTATTGTATTATATATAATTTAACTATCTCAGGCCAAGCGAAAGGGCTCTGCAGGCCATCAGTTTTAACACCTTTTATCGATCGCAGGCCAAGAAATCATTAGTGTTTTTGTTTGCCTAAGTTACACATTTTTTGTTTAAATAAATGAACAAGTATAATACTAAACAATGACAAAACCACAACAGAGCTGTGCTTTAGTTCATCGCAGATCAAGGAGCCACTATTAGGGATATAGATTGCGTTTTTTATACTCCCCAGTAATCTGGACTAGAATGCTTTGTTTATGATTCTTAACAACTTGTGTTTGGAATTAAGCAAAGCGAGTTTTACTTTTTTGGAAACCCTTTATAGAGCGCATCTAAATGCAGCCAAAATGCTTTAATTGTTTTTGATCCACGGACGGAGTCCAATCAGGACCCTTTAAAAAATATTTACAAAACAAAAAAAAATAAATATATTTAAAATTAATATTGCACTTTGTCTCGCACCAATATAAGATATTGAAATGTAGAGTGATAACGATAAGGGAAAGTCATGCATTCAAGCAACTTTTCCGAAAAAAACAAAATAACTATTTTACAAAAAAGAGAGAGAACATAACGAGAGAGAGTATGTGTGTGCGACATTGTCGAAAATCTAACTTTAACTCTAAATTTTAATGTTACTAACAAAACATAAATCACAACTTTGCACCAAGTAAGTAAGTAGAATATTTAAATCAAATATTACGCAAGGCAAAGAGTTTTCACGAGCCCTGATAAGAGAGAAGAAAAGAGTTTGCAGTTAATGTAAAATGTGGGGATAAACACGATACAAATGGAATATACAATTTACTATATAAAGCATGGTACATCGCGTCTTTCATTCAACAGGAAAAGTGGAAGACCTTTTTCAGCTTCTAGAACCAGTTTCTGCTTTCAATTTTCCTCTTATTTTTCTTAGCGCAACAACTAGATTTTCTACAGGAAGTTGCCAGACTGGCCGTTGAGCATTTTCCATTTTCACTGCTCCATCATTCTATGCATACTTTCACATGCTATCTGCAAGTTGGAGCCAAGATCTTCCTGTCCTGACAACTTGGACAACGCCAATTGGGCAGGTGAAGTGCTCACTTTTGGTCAATTTATTTCCCCTCGCAAAAGCAATTTCATCGAACATCTTCGGCGCAGTCTTTGCCTTACTTTCTAATGTTGACAGTGTATATTTTCATGTTCCCCCAGAGGAACTCCTCCAGCGATCAAAGCCAAGAAAGTCTTTCTTTTGGGGCTGCTCTTCTGCGGTTTCCTGGTAATTGCGTAAAGTGTATCAAAAGCAAACACAACGTGTCTGGAATTCTTTATTATTATCTGTTGACTCAAGTATTTTGCGTTTTTATAGCTGTCTCCACAAAAAGAAATATCACTACAAGAAGTGTAGAAACAAAACTCAAATCTTCAGGTACCGAAGGGTTAAACACCCTTCTTAATACGGAGTCTCATTGTTTCTGCACTAAGATTTAAGTTCAATCTCCCAGTAATTGGTTATTTATTTACTTAATATATTATTTTCCAATTAGTTAATGTGTTATTTGCAATTGTATGAATAAACTAAGTAAAATACCCCATAAATCACACCCATATCATACCCATACACGAGCTTTGAAATTAATTTTTAAAAAACTGATTAAAAAGAATTTACTGTTGACGAAGTTTAAAAACTTAAAGATTGTTTTTTTTTTTTATATTGAAAAAGGCAAGCAATTATAGTTTATAAAATATAATATCATTAAGGAACATGATCTAGAAACAATCACTTCAGATATCTAATATTAATCTTATGATTAATGTTTAAAAATCAGAGTGAAACCCAGTGCGGTTATTATTAAAAAAATATTTAAATTTCGTACAGCAGTTTTAGTTAAACCAAAATACTAAAGTAAACAAAGTATTATCTTAAGGCAGTACAATAACCGAAGTACTCATAAAAAGGGCACAAAACCACAATAATACTCCACGAAGAATAAACAAAATCTTGAATTTGGGACAGTTGTTTACCGCTAAGTGCAGGCCATTGCCTGAAAGCTCTGCATGAAACACCCTGTGCCTGCTCCGATTCTTTGAGGCCTTCGGGGCGTCTGACCCGACTCCGACCCAAAGCTTCCGAACTCGGCGATCGGTGGTCGGTGCCTCGTTGCCCCATTGTTATGGGGCTGCGCACTCTCACACGCTCTCGCTGTCGGCGATCCATCTCCGCTTCGTTCCAGGTCCCCCGCCCTCCGATTCACAACCGATCCGGCGGTATCAGTCTCCGTCTCCGGTCTCCAAATCAGTCAGTCTCATTTTCAGTCTCAGTCCAGCTATCAACCTCTTACGAGCTCCATTAGCGCGCGGTTCGGTTCGAATCGGTTTGGTTATTCCATATTCCACGTCCAACTGTTATCGAAGCCAAGAGGCTGAGTAATGTGATTGATCACTGTGGCAGTGCTGCAACTTGCAATTGAGTGGAAAAATAATTAGAAAAGTAAAAGTGGAAAAGCTGAAAAGTGAAGTATGTGGCCAGTGGTGGCCGGTGGAGTGACCACGTTCCAGCGGCTTCTGCCCGGGAAAGTGCAATACAATAGATTCGCCACTCGCGAAGCTTAGATAAAATGATAATGGCCCAAGGCTGATTTGTATATGAAAGCGTGAATGATAATGCCCAGTGTATATTCCTTACATAACAATTGAATTGGTTTATTAGCATACAAATGAAATAGTGAAACACAGAAATTGATTGATTTAAAGCTCCATTAATTGATCACTTTACATGCAAATATAGGATTTGGATTTTATACAACTATCGAAGTTAACGGCCTCAAAATGTAAGTATTCTTGAACAAAAGAAAGAGTGATAAGTTAATTACTAAATGCAATTGCACAGCTCGGAAAGCATAAAGAAACAATTCTGCTGATAAAAATGGGGTCTTATCGGAAGTTTTCTTGGAAAAAAACAATCATTTTTCATTTACCAGTATGTGCGCATAAAAGTATGTTTTTATCACAAGATTCTCTGAAAGCTTTTAAGGTTTTTTAACAAACTCCACAATCTGGTTGATTTCTGTTGTTGTTTTTTCTACACCCTTTTTGCCAATTTACGGCTTCGGTTGCCGTGCAGTTAGAAAGCTGCCAAAAGCAAATAAAGGTCGGGCTTTACTCTCTTTGAAAGTTGTTTATCCGGCGGATTGGGCCAAGGGGGCAAGGAAAGTGAAAGACGATTGATTAGCGTCGTGATGAATCTGGGTTCTTTGAGTGTCCATTACTCACTTCTTTACATGCCTCACAGATGGAAAAACATTCAATGCGAAGTCGGTGTTTATCTTCAGTTTCTATAAATATTTTGTCCTTGTTTTTTTGCAATAATTAATAAACGTCATTTAAGAAAAAAATCACTTTGATTTCTTGGGGTTATATTATAATATACTTTCTGGAATTATGTGACTAGTTAGTAATATTTTCTTATATATGATTTATATGATTTTTTTCTTTTAATGTGAGTAATTTATAAGATTATTTCTTTATATTAAAGTTATAGTTGTTGTTCTAAAAACTGATTTCAATTTACCACTTTTTAAAATTCTTTTTATACATTTTATTCATCATAATATGATTTCCGTAGCTGCTTAAGTTTCTATAATATTTCACTGATAAAAAAGTTAAACCCTATATCTTTTGATAGGAATATTTACCAATTAAACTGAACTTTTGCTATTCCTTTTTTAATATTTCCTCTACGATTTACTGCCGTTCTTAAGTGATCTCATTTAAGTGATCTAAGAAAAAACTACATTTTAATCAAAATTCCCATAATAAATTGTCAATAAAATATTGATAACCAATCGTAGTTTATTTTCCTGTGCATCTGCCATTTCGCACCTAACTTACGCATGTTTGCTTTAAGCCCAGGGCCGAGCCTTTGCTTACCTACGGATTTCATTGTGGCACTACCAGTTTCCATTTCATTGCGACTCCAAGTGGCAGTCACCGTTACCATTACCACGATTTCTTCCGGCCTCATTACAAGGCAAATACCAGTTTACACACACGACTCCGGCGAGTGTAATTCTGCAATGTCTGCTGAGTTTTATTGAGTCGAGTGGAGTGGCCTGGTCATGGCTTCCGTTTCGCGGTTGTCGCCGAAGAAGAAATCACCATAATAACTCTGTTAGTTATGTAGTCGGCAAATTATACCCAAAGATTATAGCTCAGCTAGCAATAGGGGGTAAGGGTATTTAACCACTTTCCATTTCCATTCACATGATCTCAGAGGGGGTAACCATCTTGAGATCAGCTTCTTTGCATAACAATTGTCTGATGTCTAAGTACTGGCCATATAATTAGAGCCTACGCCCACGTTGCTTGGCCGCCGTACACGAAATTGTGCCGCGTGGGGGTAATTGTGAATTTTGTAGTTCAAAGATGCGAATAGATACTCAGATGCTAGCAATTGTAATTTGTAGGTGCAGCTTACAGCCGCTGACAACCCTGGTCGAAATTAGCTTTGGCTAAGAGTCTGGGCAAAAGGGGACTTTTCCCTGGCATTCCTCAGGCTACATCCATGACTCATGGCCCGAATGCGGAGCTGATGCTGGTCAAAACCTGTAGACAGAGCTGCACAACATTCCACTCTCTCAAGTGGCCAGCGAAAGCACTGGGGAAAATTTATACTATTTTGTATGGTAATATATAAAAAACTATCTAAAGCAAAGTTCATTTTATTTTTATTATTATATTAATATTATATATTTTAAATCTTTTCTAAAACAATTATTAAGATCATATTTTCAGACTTAAAATAAGATCTTAACACATCCATGAAAGCAAAGAAAAACCAATGATAAACCTTTAAAATTATAATAGAAATTTCCTACTTTCCAAGCTTAACACTTTTTAGCTTACAATCTTCTAAAAAATATATATCACAGGAATAACCAATCATTACTATTTTTGCCTGTGTACTTAAAGTCTTTGGGCCAGTTGCTTGGCGAATGCATTCGACGTGCCAGCCATTGAACTTTGTAGCTTGGGCATCAGCAGTTATCGCTGCAAAAAATGCATAACAATATATTAAAGTTTAAGAAAACAACAATAGGAGAAACAAACGCGTCACCGCCATCGCTGGCATACTCGGTGACATTTTCAATGTGAAAACTGCACTGTAAATTATGTTGACTTAATCGTTCGAATCGATCGCTGATCGAAGTTGCGAATGCCAATGAAGCAGTTAGCCTGAGAGGCAGGTTCTTTTCGGGTTTGGGCAATTTTTATTGGCTCGTGAAATTCCCCTAATTGATATGCATTCTGCATTTGGCAGAAACACAGGTCGTGAGACAATCGTTTCACATTCAATATCTCTTTCGTGGCATGTCAAGCATTCTATGTAGTTCATTGCTATATAAACGGTGTCACCTTAATAGTGTGGGCGGTATTTTGGAGGTGCTGTGGCAAATACTAAGATGATACAGAGATACCCAACGTCAAATTTGGCCTAGAGAGTTCGTTGATCGAACCAAAACATCGATGAGACATCACCTGTCCATGAATAAGAGATCCAAACTGGTTGGCCGATTGAGAGAAAGAAGTCCCGGAGCATTTCCCATATAATGAGCTGGAACCGCAAGAGAAGCTTTCAAAATTTACATAATTCTTACAACTTGGATGGAAATTTTATGATGCCGACTGAAGTTATCGTAAAATGTTAGTTTAAAATGAATCCGTTTGCTGCTGCTGATATTTAGCTTTTTTTAATATCAAACACATTTAAAATTCTTTTGAAAATTTCCTCATTTTTTCTTCGGACTCAGATCTTTTTATCATCTTAATCCTAAGAACTTATCCGACCTAGTTCTTGATTATCAATTAAAATGAACTTCAATTGCCACGTCCAGGAATTTAAAAAGCTTTCTGATTAATGTAAACCGCTGGTGATTACCCTTTTTTATTCTTGTAAACCGATTCACCACACATTCGCACACTTTCCCCTTGAAGCTAATTCTGTATTTCCAGCCGATATGGGGACTCTTTGTTTTCAGTGATTAAACACGATTCCAAGCAAAAACCCACGACCAACGACCACCGATCGTACGTGGTTCCGATTTAATTCTGAACAAATCACGTTTTGGGGGCTTAGGTGGGGACTCAAAAAAACCCGAAGACCCCTGCCAAGGCCAACTTAGCCGGCTTTCATCTTCAAATACGAATTTTCCACTAGACTTTTCCATTAGATTCACCATCCGTTTCGCTTCGCATAGCGTTTGAGACAAGAGTGGCATGCAACTGGCGACACTTGATGACAGATGGAAAGTGGTTCAAAATTTATTTCCAGCCCAAGAGATTTCTTCTCCGCTCTGCTCTGCCCTGCTCTCACTAGGCGGTTGTACAATAAATTAAATAGACCAAACAAAAAACAAGAAGAAGAAGTTGGCATTTTCCTTACGCTATGGTTTCGTCAGCTGAAATGGTAACGATAATTAAAGTTTTGCATTACCGCAGCTGGCGGTGATTAATGGGCATTGTTTCGCATACGCCCCGTTGCCCCACCAAACAAAAACCCAGCCCAAAAACCGCCCCAAATAAAAAAAAAACTGAAATTAAAACGAAAACGAAATCAGCCGAAGGAAAATCAGCCACTTAATGCAAATTACAGAGACAGATACAAAGATACTGATGCCAAGATACGGCGGGCAACAAGTGTCTGTTGTGGAAATAAAGTTGCCACATGTGGCAACCGAATCACCGGGTGCCCCAGCCTCATAAACAGCCCCCAATGATGATGATGATCATCGTCGTACCCATCATTATGATCGACTCAAGTACAAAGCGGTTGCGCTGACAAGCCCATGTATGGGCGTCATATGTTTTTTTTCTATTTGCTCGGTTTTCCAAAGTACCTCTCTGCCACACTGTTTTTCGCATTGCATTGAATGGAAATGAAAACGAAAATGAAAAGGAAAATGGAAACCAGGTTTGCAGGTCGCTGAGATTTTTCAGTTTTTCAGTTTTTCGTGCGCGCCGAAACTTTGCGAAATGCTTAAATTCCTTATAACTCCGTTCCAGTTCCACGGAGGATTTCTTAACCCGCTGAATTAACACTTGTGTTACTGAGTTGGGCTTCGAATAATTCTCAAAAATACTTTCCCAGTTAGTCATATTTCTCATTTTAGTAGAAATTTGCATTCTTCTTGTGAGCTAACTATTAAATTTTTAAATATTTCCGTGATGAGTAAATTATATTTTTATTAAAAATGTTTTTTTATAATTTTTTGTATGTACATATATAGACATATGAATATATTTCTATATATAAAAACATATTTATAGACAGCCCGTCTCACTCAAAATATTATTTTTAATGAGTAATTTTTGAATTTCGTTATGGGTTAGTATATGAATAATATAAAATTCTTTTTAAAAATTATATTAATGGAAAATTTAATATATTTTCCTTTAAAAATTTATATGTATGTTTATTTAATATAATTCAAAACATATCTTCAAAAATATTATTTTTGATATTTGCCAAAAAAAAATAAATTTCAAATAATTTTCCTTTAACTTTAAAAAAAATTAAATTTTCCCGTTTAATTTTTAACCATAACATAAATTAGTACAACAGTGGGTTAAAATGTTACCGTTTTTTAACAGCGACAAATGGTCACCCAAAAGCAGGCCATCCCACTCACTCCCTCCGTAACAGCCGTTAAATATTCGATTTGTTTTGGATCTTCGGCGAAGCAGCGCTGCTTTTTGTTTTGTATTTTGTTTATTTGCCTTTGTTTACTTTTTTGCGTTTACTTTTTGTGTGTTTCTGTTTTAGTGCCGTCTC